TCTTTTGTTGCATCACATAATTTTTTGCTTGCTTTCTTTCTCTCCCTCTCCCTCTCCCTCTCCTCCCCCTCCCCTCCTCTCCTCTCCCTGTCCCCTTCCTTCCTTCCTTCCTTCCTTCCTTCCTTCCTTCCTCCCTCCCTCCCTCTCCCCCTCCCTCTCCCTCCCTCTCCCTCTCCCTCTCCCTCCCCTGCCCCTCTCCTTCCTCCTTTTCCCTCCCTGTCTCCCTCTTTCTTCTTTCCTTCTTTCTTTCCCACTGGGAGTGGAACCCAGGGCTTCATGTATTCTAGGCAAGTGCTCTACTACTGACGTACCCCTCTATTCCTTCGTCTCTATTACTTGATTTTCCTTTTCATTTCTCCTTTGACCCATTAGTTGTTTGGGACCATCTTGTTTAATTTCCACATGCTGGTGAATATTTCAATTTTCTTCTTGTAGTTCCTTATCATTGCATTTGGAAAAGCTACTTGCTGTCATTTAATGATTTCTCCTCTGAACTCTCTTCCATTGTTTCATACATGAGCTTTTGTGGGATACCTCATATCTAACCATACAGATATTTAATTACTCTAGCACCTTTTGCTGAGAAGACTTTCTTACACTGGATTGCCTTTGCATGTTTATCAAAAATCATCTGGTGCATGTTGAGGTCTTCTTGAGTTCTCCATTCTGTTCTTTTGATCTGTATTCCTGTCTGTCCCTCAACCACTGTCTCAATTAGTGTACCTATAAAATAAGTCTTAAGACTCGTTAGAGTGATTCTTCTCACTTCATTCTTTTTCAAGATTTTAAAAAGTTATTATAGGGCTTGTGCCTTTCTATACATATTTTAGAATAACTTTGTCTATTTCTAGTAAAAAAAATCTTTCTGGATTTTAATAGATCAGTTTGAAGAGAGCTGACTTTTTTTTTTAATATTTGGCAGAATTCTCCAGTGAAACTACCAAGGCCTAGAGATTTGTTTTTGAAAACTTCTGTTTCAACTATAGCTATAGGAATATGCAGGTTGTGTATTTCATCTACATTGAGTTTTTTCTTGTAGTAAACATATATAACATTAAGTCTTCCATTATAAGTATATATTTCAGTGCAACCATCATCACTATATGTTTCCAGAATTTTTCATCACCCCAATCATGAACTCTGTAACCATTTAAAAACAAACAAACAAAAATCCATGGACTGGGAGGTAGCTTAGCAGCAAAGTATTTGCCTTGCATTCACAGAGCCCTAAGTTTGATTCCCACTCCCCGCTCCCCCAAAGAAAGAAAGAAAGAAAGAAAAAATAATAATTCCACATTCCTTTTATTCCGATCCTCTGGTAACCTGTTTTACTTTCTGTCATTAAGCATCTTCCCATTCTAGGTACATGCAAAAGGACAAATATTGTATGATTCTACTTATGTGAAATACCTAGCTAACTTCACTTAACATAATATTTTCAGGGTTTGTCTGTCATAGCATGTATCAGCATTTCATTCTTTTAAGGCTGAATAATATTTCATTGTATATGCCATGTTTTGTTTAACCATTCATATGTTGATATAAACTTGGATTCTTTTTACTTTTTAAATGTTGTAAATAATGCTGCTATAAACATTGGTGTGCAAGTGTCTGTTAGAGTCTCTACTTTGAGTTCATTTGTGTGTACACCTAGAAGTTGAATTGCTAGATCACATGGTAATTCTGTTTTTCATGTTTTAAGGAACTGCCAAAATGTTTTCCACATTGGCTGTACTATTTTATATTCCCATAAGCAACATACTAGGTTTCCAATTTCTTTTTTTTTTCATATTTATTCTTAAGTTTTAGGTGGACACAATATCTTTATTTTACATTTATGTGGTGCTGAGGATCGAACCCAGTGCCTCTTGCATGCTAGGCGAGCACTTTACCACTGAGCCACAACCCTAGCCCCTAGGTTTCCAATTTCTTCATGTCTTCATCAGCACTTGTTATTCTTTATCTTTAATTTTTAAAAATTTTGATAATAGCTACCTTAATACATGTGAAGTGGGATCTCTTTGCATTTTTTTTTTTTTTTGGTGGTACTGGGGATTGAACCCAGGGGCGCTTATCCACTGAGCCACATCCCCACCTCTTTTTATATTTTATTTAGAGACAGGGTCTCGCTAAGTTGCTAAGGCTGGCTTTAAACTCACAATTCCCCTGCCTCAGCCCCCCTAGCTGCTGGGATTACAGGCGTGCGCCACCGTGCCCAGCCTAATTGCAGTTTTGATTTGCATTTTTGGAATCTCTATTGATGCTGAGCATCTTTTCATGTGTTTATTATTATTTACTAATTATGTGTTATTAGGCATTTTAATGTCTTCTTAAAAGAGCTATCTAGTCAAATCCTTTTCCCATTTTTAAAATCATGTTGGTTGTTTTTTGTTGTTGTTGAGTTGTAGAAGTTTCTTACATAGTATGGATATTAATACTTTGTTATGTGTATGATTTGTAAATATTTTCTTCCATTCTTGTGAGTAATCTTTCTACTATCTGAATAGTGTCCTTTGGATAAATTTAAAAAATTTTCATGATGACCAGTTCCCCCCCCACACTTTTTTTTGCTTGCTGTACTTGTAGTATCATGTTCAGGAAGTCATCACCAAAACTAATGTCATGAAAAATTTCCCATTTGTTTTCTTGTAAGATTTTTTTAGCTGTTATATTTAGTCTTTGATCCTTTGAATTATTATTATTACTATTATTTGCAATGCTGAGGATTAAACCCAGAGGTGCTCTATCACTGACCTGCCTCTCTAGTCGTCGTCGTCTTCTTCTTCTTCTTCTTCTTCTTCTTCTTCTTCTTCTTCTTCTTCTTCTTCTTCTTCTTCTTCCTCCTCCTCTTCCTCCTCTTCCTCTTCTTCCTCTTCTTCCTCTTCTTCTTCTTCTTCTTTTATTTTGAGGCAGGGTTTTGCTAAGTTGCTGAGACTGGCCTCAAACTTGTGATCTTCCTACCTCAGTCTCCCAAGTACCAGGGATTACAGGTGTGTGCCACCATGTCCAGCTTGAATTAATTTTTCTATATGTTGGAACTTCATTCCTCATTCTTTTGCATGTGATGTCCAATCCCAGAACCATTTGTTGAAGACGGTCCTTTACTTATTGAATGAATGGTCTTCACATCCTTGTTGTAAATGTGTTAATAATATATGGTAGGGTTTATTTGGGGGCACTTTGTTCTCTTGCATTGGTCTGTGACAGTTCTTATATGTCTATACCATGCTGTTTTGATAGCTACAACTTTGTAGTGAGTTTTGAGATCAGGAACTGTGATTCTACCAACTATGTTCTCCTTTTTCTAGACTGTTCTTGACTATTTAGAATTCTTTGAGATTCCATATGGATTTTAGGATGGATTTGTCTTTGTCTGCAAAAAAAATGCCATTGGAATTTTAAGAGAAATTGCACTAAATTCATAGCTCATCTTGGGCAGTATGGTCATTTTAACAATATTAGTTTTCTGATCCATGAATATGGGATTTAATTGTGTTTTGATAGTTGGTAGTTTTTGTGACATTGGTACATTTTTCCAAATTGTCAAATACATGACCATAAAGTTGTTCATAGCATTCCATTTTCCTTTTTAATGGCTACAGTTTGTCATCAGAGTTTATTTCATTTTTCAGGTTGATGTGTTTTCTCTTCTCTTCTTATAGTTATTAGTAAGACTATAGGTTTATCACTTAAATTTACTTTTTCAAAGAACAACATTTTGGTTCATGACTTTCTATAAGTTTCCTATTTTCAATTTCATTGATTTCTTCTCTTGTGTTTACTATTTCTGTCTGCTTGCTTTGCTTTTGTTTTTCTAGTATCTCAGGTTAAGAACTTGGGTTTTTGATCTTCATCTCTAATTTAAGCATTTAGTGCTATAAACTTCCCTCTGAATATTTTTTAGCTGCATCCTCTATATTTTGATATGTTGTATTTTCATTTTCCCATAGTTCTCTGTATTTCTAAATTTCTCCTTGAGTCATTTTTTTGGCTTTTATTTTATTTAGAAGTATGCTGTTTAACTTCCAGTATTTGTAGATTGTCTTCTCTTTTTTTTTTTCCTTTTTCTTCTTTGTATCTAGTTTGGATTCATATTATCAGAGATACCTCTCTGTATAACTTTAATACTTTTTAAGTTTGTTGAGATTTCTATTTACATATTTAGAAAGGGTCTTACTAAGTTGCCCAGACTGACCTCAAACTTGGATTTTCCTGTCTCAACCTCCTGAGTAGCTGGAATTGCAGGCATGTACCACCACACCCACCGGAGGACCACATTTAATCTGCCAACTCATTGATGCTTTTTCCCCCCACAAACATTGCTATTTCTCTCTGGTTGCTTGCTCTGGATGGCTCTGTCAGTGCCTTTCTCCACTATTACCTTCAATAACAGGAACAATTATGGCCTTCTCTTCTAAAGTGCAAGAGAAGAGAATGTTGGAAAATGCCATGCTGTGGAATTAATGTGAAAGAAGTCCATATTTTTAAAGGACCTGGTTGCATCCAAAGACCTAATATTTCAGTAGTAACCACACTTGTATAAAATTGTATGTATATGTCGTAACCACTTTTAATTAATAAGACACTTCCATACTTCACAGGGAATGTTACATTGGTCTATCCATGGCAGTTGTCTTTGGTTCAGGTCTGGGTGGCATTGGTGGAAACCAGGGTGAGGAGCTCTCAGGGATCATGCTCAAATCTAGAACTTCCTGGCCATGCAGTCATCTCCAGCAGATCTGAGCTAAAGTCCCAGCTCTCTCACCTACCTGGTCAGATGTGGGACTACAGTCATCTCCCAGTCCCCCCTTCCCCTGAAGAAAAGTGAGCAGAATCCACCATTTCTAAACACCTTCCGTCTCTTTGGCATTCATCTCAATATGATTGTTTGGAGGTCTGAAGGTCCAAGGCAAGGGTACTCTATTGATGTTGTGACTCTCCCAAGGTATAGAGTAGTTGTATAAATGTGTGTTCCTTACTGTCCTCCCTCCCCCTTCTAGGGAGATGGGACCACCTCACCACCACCACAACCAGGAGGCCAGGAACAACCAGAGCTCCAGCAGGTTCTTCAGGTAACTGTCTGCCCTGAGGAGGGCAGTAAGGAGGGCCTTAGGGAGCCCCTTCAAAGATACTGTCCAAATGACCTGCTTATAGTTTAACCAGACGACTGTATTCTTGTCTTTTGGGGCCTCCTGAAGTAAATGATTTCGACTTGGCTGATGCCTTGGATGATCGAAATGATCCAGATGATAGCCGCAGGAAACCAAATGTAGCAGGAGGAGGTAAGTTCCAGCTGACTGAAACCATAGGCCAGCCCCTGTTTCCAATCCTGGAACAGTAGGTCGTATCTATCAGTATTTACCATCTGAGTCCTTAAAGCTGAAATTGAACATGACCAACACGAGTCCTACACGTTAACATAAATAGCATATTTTAATGAGAAGTAACTATATTTGGCAAGAAAAAAAAAACACCACTTAGTGAGAATAGTGGCATTATTTTACATTTTTGCAAATTTCTCTAATATCTGGCTTGATAGGAGACAACTGGATTCTCAAATGTAAATTTCAATTTAGTTGTGATATGTTGTGGGTGAAATACATGAAGAAAATCTAGCCTCATACAGAGAGGTAGCTGGAAAAAGGAAAACATCTTTATAGACTTTTCCACGTCAATATGGACATTCTTCTTCAGTAGCATACCAAAACTCAACTAATAGTTGTTTATAGGTTAAGCACATTGTGGGAAACGTGTCTGTGAGCTTTCCTCCCTCTGTTCCATTGAATCCCATGGGACTCTCTTGCCCTCTTAGTGGATCTTTTACCTATATGTGGTTTTGTGGCATTGCACATTGGTGTCACTTGGAAAACATTAATATTCTAAGATTTTTCCAGTTTCAAATAATGCCACACTTCATTATGCAAAACCCAAAGTCACATTTGTTAATATCACCACCTATGTCATTAGAAAAGGTCTTTGAGTATTGGGAAGCTATTAAATCACAGTGATGGATATAGGTTTTTGAGAATCCTAAGTTTTAGTTGAAATCATATTCTTGGCAATAAATACCATTAGTGGCCTTCCTGAATTGTTGAAATCATTTCATTGATTTTCAAGAAAACATCAACATGGTATAACTATAGTTGGTCCATCATTCATTCTATCCAATAAAAGTGGTCTCCTGTGACCCAAAGCAGCTAAGACCTTAGAATTGGAGCAGTCACACAGCTGCCTTTGAGAGAACTATAGTTCTTCAAGTGCAACAGAAATGCCATAAGCATACTTTCCATTTCATCATGGAATATTCAAAGAGGTGTACTCAGTGGTTGAACTATATGTAATTAATAACTGTTCTGCTTCCTGTATTGGTTTTCTATTACTCCCATCACGAATTTTCAGAAACGTAGTTTTTTTTTTTTTTTTAAAGAAATAGCGAATGAAGATAATGCCCATTTGCCATCTTGAAATTTCCTTTAGTCAGTTAGGAAGCTGAGCTTTCTGTTCAGGGTTTCATAGAACTCTAATCAGGGTGTTGACCAGGGCTGGGGTCTCAAATTCCAAGCTCATGTGGTTGCTAACAGTACATTTCCTTTCAGCTATTTGCTTCTTCAGGACCAGCAGGAGAAAGGCAGAGAGAGAGAGGGTTGAGAGGGAGAAGAGAGAGAAAGACTTGCATTTTTGCTTCTGATGTCTGAACTTGAGGGAAGATAAAACCTGCATTTAAGGGGTCACCTGATTAAGTCAGGCTCACCCAGTGTAATTTTCCTTTTGATTACTGTATCTTAATTATGTTTGCAAAATCCCTTTACCTTTGCAATGTAATATGACCTATGACCTAATCAAGGGAATGATATCCATCCACTTCATAGTCCCACTCACATTTGAAAAGACTGGCTGTTATGCAGGGCATGTACACACCAGCAGTGGGAAGTCTTGGGGCCCTCTTGGAATTTTGTCTACCATCTTCATCAAGGGATTTTTTGTGTGGTTCTGGGGATTCAACCCAGGACCTTGCACATACTAGGCAAGTACTATTCCACTAGTCCATGCCCCCAGTGCCATCAAGGACATTCTCAAGTGGAACTGGCAGCATTTTCTATTAATATTAATTAATGTTAACTAATATGAGTTTCTTGTTGCTAAAAGTGTTTTGTCATTGAAATGTATATTTTATTTTTTTCTAGGTTTTTCAGACAAGGATCTTGAAGACATATTAGGAGGTGGTGAATACAAACCTGATAAGAATAAAGGTAGTAGTGTTGATTTGTTCAACTGTGTTCCTATTCTGGTTAAAAAGGTGCTTATGCAGCAACCAGGCTAATTGAGCCATTCTTACTCAGCTTCTGGGAAATGAGAGATAGTACCCAGATACCCCAGCTTGCAAATTGGAGTTCCCTTGCAGTGACATGGGCCATGAAACTCAAAGTTGCCTGTAAAAGTCACTTTGGAAAAGCTACACATTTCTCCTGCTGCCCTTTGAGCCAAGGTGCCTCCTGGACTGACGTTTCCATGCTAGCAGTAGCCTGTTTGTGAGGCAGTGCTGAGTGAAGAATGACCAAGGGCAGAACACACGTACAGAATGGCCTTCCCCAGAGAAAGCCTGCCCCTCCTGCTGTGCTTGAACAAAGGCTCATCCTGATGCATTTTTTTTTTTTAAAGGCTCCTAGCAAGTCACATATCTTTTTAAATACCTTTAGTGAAATAGCTTAAGACTCACAGGCAGTTGTAACACTACTTCAGGGAAATCCCTCCTTGTGCCCTTTCCCCCCTGAGGATAGGGTCATACAGAACCCAAGAACATTGTCCAAACCAGGAAACTGACATCTGTGCAATACTGTGAAGTCATGGACATACCTTGTTCAGATTTCCTGTGTGTGCATGTGTGTGTGTGTGTGTGTGTGTGTATCTGTGAAATTTTATCATGTGAATATTTGAGTCACTATCACCACAATCAGGAGGCAGAATGGTTCCATCATATTATCCCTGAATAGTCATCACACCCTCCCCAAGGCACTATATTTTTCATCCCCCGCACAACTACCAATGATTTAAACCTTTTATCATAGTGTATATCAAATCTGATGCTAAGTATGGGGGGGGGTGTCAGCCAGATTTGTTAATGTGGTGAAACAACTTAGTGTTATGACTTGTAGCTGTAACTTGCTATGTCTGTAACTTGTGGTTGTAATGTGTTGCGGCAGAAACTTGTGATCACGTGTTAGGATGGTGAGTGGAGTAGGTTGTTAACACTTTGGTTATAACTCATTGTGATGGCATGCTGTAGTAACAGGCTAGGGGTGTGACAAGTTATGGGTGTAGCTGTAACCCTGAGATGCCTCACAGTCCTGACTGTGGTACTGACATTTGCTTCTTTCTTGCAAGAACAGTGTGTCTTTCATATGGGAGCATTGTTCTTTCGTGATTCAGGTACTATATTCAGAATTATCTTCAGAAATCCCTTTCCAGACAGTGTCATCTCTAGAAAAAAAACCCTAAGAGCCTCTAAATGAAACTCAAAGGTGTCAGGAGAACATGGAACATTTAAAGGGCAAACCTAGCAAATTAGCCAATTACTTCTGGGTGACAAATGGTATTTCCAGATGGGGAGATGAGGGCAGTAGTTGTGTGTGTAAGCATGCATGTGAGGGAAGGTCTGAATGGCATGTCAGGGGCTTTTCCTTATTAAAAGTACTTGTTTTAGCAAGGAAGAAGTATAAGGAAATTCTTTAATTAGGTTCACATTGGAACTTCTCTTGTAACGAATAATCAATTGTTAGCTTCGGTTATATCCTCTGTCATTATGGGTGTCAGTAAAAGAAGATCAAGGGGTCCCACCAGAAAGGACAAGTGTGAAACTGAAACATGATTATGACAAGTACACAATTATCTTCTCAGACACTATCCTTTACACAAAAACATGTTCATGTTGGGAGCAAAGGTAAAGCATCACATTTAAATAAATTATAAACTTCAGCATAAAGAGAACATCTGTTAATGCATTTCCAGCCTCATGTCCTAGGGAATAGATTCAGCTATACTTTAGTGTGTTTGTGAAACAATATATTATCTGTTATGTATTTTTTCCTCATGAAACCTTTTCCCTGGCCCTTTAGGAGGCCCATATTTCATCTGGGTGAAAATGCCAGTCTTTTGTCAATAGGTCCTCTTACGTTGCCTAAGAGGGTGAACCCACCCCCTCCCCCTTCACTCCCTCCCTGCCTAGTCTGGACTGGGATTTTTCCCCATTTTAATCAATACCTTCTTTGGTATTCCCCTGTCATTTGTATCTGAGTGCATGTAAGAAGCTTCTCCCACTGTGTTTCCTAGTGACATACTGATGGTTTCAGCTTTATGTCATGTGTGACCTAGGTTCTTTGCCTGTAGCTGGTTACCCTCTCTCTGTTTCCTCACATGGAGATCAGAAGGAGGATACAAGCTCTGTCATGTCTTCTTATAAGGCCCTAACCCCATCATGAGAGGTCTATGCTCAGGACCTAATAACCACCCAAAGACCCCACCTCCTAACAGCATCACAGTGGATGTCAAGACTTTGGCATATGAATTTGTGAGGGGTATACAAACACGTGACACATAGCACTAAGTATGCACACATAGCTATGATTATTTTTAGGCTTAATCGTCTGTAGTTATATTAACCTAAACATTACTTCATACTTATATCTACTTGAATCTAGTGCCAAAAGGCTTATTTTGGTCTTGCTTGCTTGCTTATCTGTAACTTGCCTCTCTGATGGTGAGAACCTGACTTCTACCATCTGTCATCCTGCTCCTTTCTTGCTTAGTTCAGCTATGCCTGTATATCAGTATAAGAATTCTCAGCCCATACCCCTTTGTTTCCCAGTTACTTAGACCATCTCCTCCACCCCTGTGCATTCAGTATGGTTTTGCCATATGTTTATAATGGGTTAAATTCATTTGTCACTGTTGACATTCCATCCTGGGATTCCTCCACCTACTTAGTTCATGTTTTGTTTTGTTCTATTGTAAGTTCTTCTACACATTCCCTCTATAATCCTCAGTTATTCCTGCCTCCTTCAAGTCTTATCTGTCTTCTATTATTGTAACCACTGATTTGTTCACCATCTCTACAGCTGTTTCTTTTCCAACATGCTGTGTCATTGCAATTGTATAGGATATAGCCTTTTCTGACTGGCTTCTTTCACTTAGCAGTATGCATGTAAAGTTCATCCATATCTTTTCATAGCTTGTTTCATTTTAGTACTGAATAACAACCCATAGTAGAGATATACCACTATTTACCCATTCACCTGTTGAAAGATACCTTGGTGGCCTCCAGCTGTTGGTGAATATGAATCAAGGTGCTTTAAACATTTACCCTACAGATTTTTGTGCAGGCGTAGGTTTTCACCTTACTTGGATAAATAGCTTAGGTGCGTGCTTGCTGGTTCATATGGCAAGTCTATGTTTAACTTTGCAAGAAACTGCCAAGCTGTCCTCTAAAGTGACAGTACTACTGTGCATTCCCACCAGCAATGAATGAGAGTTCCTGTTGCTTCACATCTTTGTCAGTGATTGGTATTGTCAGTTTCTTTCTTTTTTTTTTTTTTTAATTCAGACATTCTAATAGGTGTGTATTGGTTTCTGGTGGTTTTCTTTTGCATCCCCTTACTGAAGGCAGAACCTCACACATACCAGGCAAATGTTTCACCACTGAATTACACCCCAAACCATTGTTTATTTCTTATTTTATATTCTCTGGTGAAATTTGTTCATATTTTTCCCCAATTTAAAATTTGAGTGGTTTGCATTCTTATTGTTGACATTTAATGAGCTCTTTATATAATCTGGATACAAATATTATATATATGATTCTGCAAATATTTTTTCCCAGTCTGTGGTTTGTCTTTTCCTTTTCGCTCTAGGGTTGTTTGTAGAATAAAGATACTAGTAATTTTATAAAGTTCAACTCATTCATTTTTTTTCTTTTATAGATTATGCTTTGGTGACCTTTCCCTAAGTCTTCCAAGAGTTTTACAGTTTTAGCCTTACATTTAGGACTTTTCTCCATTTTGAGTTCATTTATCTATGGTGTGAGATTAGGACATGATTTTTTCTTTGACATGTGGATATTCAGTTGCCTTAGCACTGTTTGTTGACAAGGCTATTGTCGTGATGGAGAAAGGTGTGACTATGTAGTCGAGGGGAGAAATAAAGAATGTCCACACACTAATGCCCTTTTCAGTGCTTTATTCACTCAAATTACTCAATAAAATTTCACTCTATAGGTTCTTAATCAAGAAAATGACAATCCTTAATGCTGGGCACTGCAACAGACATAATCAATACACAGCAAACAATTCTAGATTAATTCTAAGCACAGCAAACACACTTAGTCATGACAGGCTCATGACAATTCCCTCTGCATGCTAAGCTCAAGTGCCAGATCTAAAGTCTCATGCCTTAGGCTTTAAGTTGGGTAGATGTCCACTCACTCAGACCATAGTGATCAGATCAGGAACCAAGGCAGGCTTCTCCTGGGGTGGAGCTGATGGCCCACTGGGGAGAGGGTCGTAGGGAGAAGTTGTGACTCTCACCAGGGTCAAGATGTAGCTGTAGAGTTTGACAGCAGTGAGGACAACGCAGAGGCAAATGATGAGAAGAGTTGGGGTATCAGTCCAGGTCCTCATCAGGCTCTCCAGAGTGAGGGCATCAGTGTTAGCTGGATGAAAGTCTGTTCATTTGCTCCATCATTTATGCTAAGTCTGGGGGCTTCTACCCACCCTTTGAATCCCTATCAGCCATTACTGCGTTTCTTTCATTCTGGGGTCAGGACATCTGGTCTAGTGGTTTCCACCCTGATCTCTTGCCTCTGACTTTATCAGGGCAAAGGCAAATGACAAGTGACTTCACTCTGAGTTTTGTCAGGGTTGTGAAAAGTGACTTTATTTTATCAGGCTATGCCTGATAACAATATTGGAGGGCTCTGTAGGCGTGCCTGGTGGGGACTGTAGTTTTATTTTAAAATGGTGGTAGGCTAAGGCCCTTCTTAGGTTAAGGCCATCCTTACAGCTATCCTTTCCTCCTTTGAATCATCTTGGCTCCTTGGTTGAAAGCCAGTTGACATAAATGTAAGTGTTCATGTGTAGAATCTTAGTTCTGCTCTAGTATCTCTATGGTTGTCCTTCATCCCGTACTAGACTCTGCTGGGCCTATATTTAGCTTCAGGATGACTAGGAATATGTAAAGAGTTTTTTAAGCTCTCTGCAGT